AACTGCGACCCGGAAAGTGACGCGGTGACAGGAAGCCAGTTCAGAGGACGAAGCAGAGGTAGAGGCACGTGTCGAATGCCGCTCCGGGAAACCCAGCCAGCTCTAGTCCGCGGAAGGTTCTCTAAGATTCATGCCCCAGCTGCTTCTACAAACGCCACCGGGCGAGGAGAGGCTGGAGAGGGCTTGGGCGCTGAACTGTTCTAGAGTCAAAGAACCAGCCGCAACTGGATCCGGATTTGAACAAACCAACTGTAAAGAGTCATTTTGGGGACGAGCGGAGAAAGCTAAACGCAGACCGGGTTTGGTTTTTTGTTGTTGTTTTTTTAAGTCCTCGTCTGTCAGATTTTTCACTGATGTATTTATGACATGCTCTGGGGTTTTCCTTTAAAATATTTCGACCGCCCCAGCCATCATCACCCTGCAAGGAAAAAAAAAAAGGAGCGATGGGGAATCAGAACTGGAACCGGCTCCCCCTGGCCCGCGAGCGCGCGCGGACCGCCCTGGAACTCTGCAGGCCCGGCGCCGACCCTGGTCCCGCGAAACGACCGTGAGAATATCGACGCCTCAGACATCGGCCGATGTTACAAGTCAGAGTGTCTTCGTTCTGAGAACTGGATTAACGGGAGTGCGGCTGGGGACGGCGCCGTTCACTCGCTCTGCTCCTGTCTGGGCCGTATTTTCCACCATGAAGAGTTTACGACGGGCGTGTCCTCGGGCCTAGAAACCCCACGTCTAAGACTTTACCCTGAAAAAGTGATCAAATCAGTTCTGTAATTCACGTGGCTCCCATCACTTAGCTATAAAAATGCTTATTAATACGTCGGCTTAAAAAAAAAATAAAGTGTAAACAGCCTGAGTATCGAAAAGGAATGGGTTTCGTTTTGAAAGATGAAATGTTCTGGACACGGGCTGCACAACGCGAGTGTCTGAAGACGCTCGACGCCACAGAGCCGCACACTTGAAACTGGTTAAGATGGCGATTTTACGCTGTGTGTATTTTAGCGCGATTAAAGATGGTTTTGTCTTTTTGTTTTTTTTTTTTAAATCGGTCATGTTACGCAATGGAGTATGGTTAGAAATTGCGTCGCGGAAGGAAACGTAATGATATGGAAAAACAAGGGTGATCTCGTTAGGTGAAAAGGGAGGTCGCAGAGCGTGTGCCCAGCTGGGCGGCAGGTGTTTGAACGCGTGAGCGCGCACGGCCGGGCCGGAAGGGCGCCGTCCATCGAGAGCGCGACTCCGAGCACTGAATGCACGCTGGCGAAATCGTCACAGACCCCCAGAAATCGTCACGGGCCCCCGGAAATCGTCACGGACCCCCGGGGCTGGGCTCGGGCATGCTCTCAGCTTTGCCTGGCACAGACGTGGACACTGGGGCTGGCGGAGGGGGAGGCAGGGCGGCCGGACCTCCTCCCGCCTCCCGCCTCCCGCGCGCCTGCCCCGGAGGATTTCATGTTTCCCGTTCGCGTGTTTTCTCAACTTTCTAAACCAGAACGGGTAGCGTTGGCAACGGGGCAGCGCTGATGCAGTGAGGCCGGCGACGTGTGTTGCAGGCTGCTGATGGAGCGGGGGGCGGATGACAGCCGGGACGGTGGTCATCACCGGAGGCATCTTGGCGACTGTGATCCTGCTCTGCATCGTCGCCGTCCTGTGCTACTGCCGGCTGCAGGTACCGGGCAGCGTGCAGCGCGAGGGCTGGGCGGGGACGGGGCGGGGACTGGGCGGGGCCCAGGAAGCCCGGGGGCGGGGCTTCACCCATCTGGGCTCGGTGACCGCAGCTGCTTGGCTGACCTTGCCCAGGGCTTCCCAACCACGGGGGCTCAGAGAGGGTAAGGGTCTTAGCCCACCGCACACAGCTGTCGAGGGGAGGACGGGCGAGCACTGGGGCCTTGCTGCTCGCCATCTGTGCTGTCCCTGCCCCGCCCCCGTGGGGCTGGTGAGGCCCCGCTCTGCCCAAGACGGGAAGGGAGAATCTCATGTGGGCCGGAGCCCCACGCCCGGTGCCCAGGCCCCAGGCCGAGGCCAGACTGCCCGGCCGAACCCCGAACCCCCGCTCTGCCGCTTCCAGGCCGCAAGGCCCCTCTGTGCCTCTGTGTCCTGTAAAATGGAGATGGTGACTGCGGATGACCCGAGCAAACCCTTCCGGCAGGGTTTGGCGTGGCGCCTGGCCTGAGCGAGGCCCCTAAGTGGCAGTTAGAAGGACACAGGGTCTGACCCCGCCCCCGGTGGGCGGTGAGAGGCGGCGGGGGCGGCGGGGGCAGCCGGGTCACCGCCCTCTGCCCACAGTACTACTGCTGCAAGAGGGACCAGGAGGACCCGGAGGAGGACGAGGAGCCGGACTTCGCGGTGCACCCGAGCCTGCCCCCGCTGCACTCCGGCCGCAGCCTGGTGCTGACCAACGGGCCCGCGCTCCACCCGGCGGCCGCCCCCGCCTTCGGCCAGAAGTCCCCGCAGGCCCGCGCCCTCTGCCGCAGCTGCTCCCACCACGAGCCGCCCGCCTTCTTCCTGCAGGAGCCGGAGGACGGCGGCATGCGCAACGGCGGGCAGCGCGTGGCCTACCAGAGCCTCGGCCAGGACGACCTGGAGCTGCCGCCTGGGACCTTCGCGGGCCTGCAGGCGCTCAACCCCAACCGCCTGTCCGCCATGCGGGAGGCCTTCTCCCGGAGCCGCAGCATCAGCACCGACGTCTGAACAGCCGCGCCCGCCCGCCTGCCCGCAGGTCCTGAGGCCATGGAGGGCACAGCGGCCATGCCCCAGGCCCAGGCCCCAGCTCGGCCCGGCCGTCCTCGCAGCCCTGCCATCGGGGTGGGGCCCCGGGCTTGGGGGGCCTTGGGCCCCATCCAAGGGGAGCTCTGGGGCTCACTGCAGGGATAAGGCCCAGTGAACGCAGGTGCAGCCGGGGTTAGGGGTCGCCAGGACGGGCGAGGAGGCAGGGGCCATGCAGCAGAAGTGAGCCACGCATCCAGGCGAGGGCGGCGGAGCGAGGCCGGGCTCCCGACACCCGCGCTAGTGCAGGTGTCACGGGAAGTGGCTTCCGTCACAGCCCTAGCTACTTGGCCATCTCGGGCACGTGGCCCAGCCACGTCACTCCCTCCCTGCTCAAGGAAGGGGTGGCCAGCACGATGCTGGCCCTGCAGCGAGCCCTCCCTGGGACTTTGGACCAGCCGTTCTGTCCCTCCAGCCCCCAACCAGGGGGCCCTGTGTCTCCCTCCCCACCCCACACACCTCTGGCTTCAAGTGCCAGGCGGCTGAGAGCCAGGTTGAGCTGGGGTCCCTGCAGAGCCCCGTAGAAGGCGACTTCAGAGACGGCCAGGCCTAGGGGATGCACGGCCTCGACTGGCCGTGTGCCAGCCACTCGCTGCGGGAGAGCCCACACTGATGTGCACAGCCCGTCCCTCGGTCCTCAGGTCGTAGGGTGCACGGGGCGGTGGACCCCGGGTTAACAGACCCGCGAGACCTGGGACGGGCCCTCCCGTCTGGGCCTCAGCCTCCGGGAGCCGGTCAGGCTCTAGTCCCCAGGGGAGACGGCCCGGCCCCTCTGCTGCCGGCTGCTTCTCAAGAGGAGCCACGAGCGAGGCCCTGGCAGCCCCGCCCTGCCCTGCCCTGCCCTGCCCTGCCCTGCGTGGAGACTTCGACCGAGCCCCTTTCCACTAGCTCCCAGCAGCTGGGGTCTCCCCAGGACCCCGCTCTTGGCTCCCTCAGTCCAGCGGGGGAAATGATGACCGCCAGCCACCCTGGAGAAGTGCCCATGCCCGGGGGCGCCCACTGCGGGGAACGCGGCGCCTCGCCCAGGCAGAAGCGGTGGCCCTTGTCTCCGAAGCCGGCCCACGGGGCCCCCGCCCTGTCCGGGGTCTCCCTGCCTCTGGACCCGCCATGGAGCCCGGGGTGGGGTGAGCCCTCATCTGCCCAGTGGGACGGACCGAGCTCCCAGCCACCCGCCCCCAGACAAGGCGAGCCTTTGAGGGCAAGTGACACTCCGTGAGCCACGGGCAGTGCGAGCCGCTCCGCCGGCTGGACGGGACGGGCTCGCAGTGGGCGAAGACTTGCTGTTTTTAGCATTCTCGACTTTCTCTCTCCTCCCTTCCCCCCCCCGCCCCCCGCTTCAGTTCGGACATGCCAGTAGAACTCGCCCCGGAGCTTCCCAAAGCCCCGCTCACGCCCCCCACTTCCGTGCGAACCCAACGAGTTTGTGTCCCACGCATTCGCTTGGGGGGAGG